GATATTATTCTTAATTATGTTATGGGGTAAACTAGTAAACAGTTAGTGAAGTCTGCTGAATACAGCTTGGAATTACTTATACTAATGTTTCTAGGTTTACTACTAATATTTATATCATCTATTGACCAATACTCTATGAAAAAACTATTACGAAAATTTTAGTCGATTGCACGTAACTTCTAAAATGCTTTTTGACATAAGAATACTTGTTAATTCAATAGATAATGGTTTGACAATACTATGTGTAGCTCCAGTAATAAATCTAAATTTGATTATTGTTTTATGTAATTTAACAAAATTATCAATTCTGTAATTGGTACCTTTGTCAATTAATTTCCCTCCTTCCTTACTGTGGAGTTCCAGGGAGGGCTATTAATAATTCCTTTACTCCGTCTAGAAGTAGGAACGAAACGGAGTTTTTTATTTTTTATTTTCATTTTTATTCCATTACCTAACAGAATAGTTCCTAGTCATTAGAAATTTGTGTTACAGTACTATGGTATAGTAGTATTTCTAGAAAAGGTATGGAGCCTATGACTTGGACTTCGGCCATGCATTACCAGCGTTGCCACCACCTTGTAACCACTTTTATTGCAACCTAACATGGTAGCGGAGTTCCGTTCTGAATGAATAATTGTTGCAGTCTCAACTTCAAGACCCACGGCAGGGGCCCCTTTCAGCATAGACCTCATGCCGATCGTGATGAAATCGAGTACAAAAAGTTCTCACATTTTGCCCAACTTTCAACAAATTCAATTTTCACGAGCTTACCAGTTCTAAGCATAGTGAATCTCACCTGAGAACGTCGGCCTTTGCGAGCCAACAGCTACTATTAAGACACTCTTCGCCAAATTTTTAGGTGGAACAACCAGTACGTGGATTTTGTAGTACTTTAGCAAAGACCCACATTAGACGCCTTTTCAAAAAGTTGAGCAGAGCATTACTGCGAAGATAGCGAAAAAAGCATAACGGCATGGAGTTGGTGCACTAGAAAGGACGAGAATTCTCCTGTATTCACATGGATAGCGAAACGTAAGAGTATGCAAACAAGCTATGTGATAATTATCAACTTACCAAAAAGCAAAGACTCAACGCAAAAATCACCCAGAAAACACTTCGAAAAACCATCTCTTCAAAAAAGCTTACACTTTCGAAAAACATTTGACATTTGACATTTGAAGCTAGGGAAAGGCGTCGAGACTAAAAGTATTTTTGTACAACTACTTCAAACAAGTTCCACTTTTTTCTTTAACAAAAACGAGGTGAAAGAACAATGCATGCGTGCAAATACTCTCAAGATGTCCATCGCACCTCAGCGATATCGCCTAGTCGCCTGTGCAGCGCGCGACGCGACATCGCTGGGTTTTGCCGAAATCGCGGCGATTATCGCTGCAGAACTATGCCCCAGCCAAAGAAGGTCTGCGATCCGTCGCGCCGGACGAGTACCACAACTGCCGTAGCAGACACGAGGACATGAAACTAGTGCGTAACAGTTGCCGTTTTCCAGCAATCGCAGCGCGACGAAATCTTTTACACTATGTTCTAGGCCATACTCACTACAATCTCAGAACTTGGTCTTAGGCCTAAGGCATACCTCACGCGATTTTAGTCGCCGCGCGATTTGGCACTGCAACGACTCTCCATAACTGGTCGTAAACGCACTTTGCTTAGGCCAAACTTGCTGCGTTTGTTACAATTTACGGAATCTACGCACCCATGCATCTGGAAGCCTCGCATGCTTAATCTCTAGACATCTGGCAAATCGCCAAGTCGCGAGGCGAGGATGTGGCGATTTCGCGAAATCGCGAGAGGTATGCCTTAGGCCTGAGGCCTCGGGCAGAGTACACGCGATTTCATCGCCTCGCAATTCTCCAAGCGACAACCGTTATCCATTACATGCCTATGGTCTTGCATTTAGGTTGTGATAGTTACTCAGGATTGGTCATGTTGGAGAACTATCACAACCGAAATGCAAAATGATCGGCATGCAATAGACTCGCAACTCTTTGTCTTGTTTTGACAATTGCGGCGAAGTCGAAGTCGCGTGAACTCTGCCCAAAACTCTAAGGGTAGGACATACATCACACAATTTCACCGCCTCGGGACCCACCCAACAAGACAACTGCTACGAGTCCATTGCATGCAGATCATCGCATTTCGGTTGTGACAGTTTTCTGACATGACTAAACGCAACTAATTTTCACACGGAAGATGATCAGCATGTATGAATATGTAACAGTTGTCTTGATGGGAGAATCGCACGGCGATGATCGCGTGATGTATGAACGGCCTTTTACGGTGTTAATTATCGCTTGATTACATAAAATAAACACACCGAATCAACAATACACTTGTAAAATGTCTTCCTTCTTTGTGCTTAAACGTTTCCAGCGGTTTATCCAGGTAGACTGCAGCATTGTATTTCGACAGCAGGCGTGGGTTTGGGCTTGTTGATCTTTGCTTAACTGTTGACAAACCTAAAAATTCATTTCACTCGCATTTCCTTGAGAGACAAATCACCTCACAACCTCGTGTGGCTGTAAGTGTAGGAATTCAAAGGCAAGCATTGTGCGAAAACAAGCATGTACGTTGTGGTGGCTGTAGGCTTTATTGTAGCCTTAGGCGAATGGGTGGCGCCTGTAGTGGAGTATGGTGGCTCCTGATGTGTTATTAGAACACGTAAGCTGTTAGAGCTTTATTGAACAGACGACATGCACCATTCGTGCAGTGGTAGAATGCTGGCGAATACAGGCGTGGCGAAGTAATGTTACATACGTCTGGGCGATAAGATACTTATGTCACTGCAGGTCATACTTATGGCATGGCCTTTACGGTACTCAGGCAGGAGTAATGAGGTGGTTGAAAGGAAGGTGCCGACAAAGTCGGCACATACGTACAGGGGCTTTCAATCTGAGTGCCACGGTCGACATGGTTCAGATCCTCACGAGCCGCCTCTTTGGGTCTCTCACGTGGTACGACACCGCATTCGCTAAGGCCTTCGCGGTAACGGGTGCGGTATTGTACCCTTTAATTCAACTGGCTTGGCGGCTGGAAAGCAGGGCTTCGTGACGCAGTTACAGGCAGCGTCCAGGCGAATCTGGACATATGGGGCTCTCACGTGGTTTCCAATTTTGGGGCCCAACTGCCACTGCCCAAGCGAAGGTCAGGTAGTGCTCTAACGGCTGAGATATTCGTCTCGAAACTGGACGCCGGAATCGTATTTCGGATGGATCCATGGCGCAAACCATGGGTCCCCGCGCGAAATTGATGGGTTGTGCCATGCATCCATGTGAAATACGATCGCGGGATCCAGTTTCGACAAATATCTCAGCCGTTAGTGCACCACCTGAGCTGCCGGTTGGGCAGTGGCTTAGGCTCCCAAAATTACTATCCACGCGCAATCCCCATGTGTCCAGACTTGCCTCGACGCCAAAGGGCTCTGGAACAGTTGTGCGAAGTCAGGCAACTTCCTTCAAAGAGCGCGGAACGCGGCGCCGTAAAAAAGTGAACGATTTGCATTGCATAGTAGAAGCTATTACCGGACGAAGGCGCAGAAGCAGTGTTAGTTGAGCGGGTGCGAACTGGGCGCGTCCGTACCTTCAGCGTTATAAGTCCTGCGTCTCATACGCTCTGCGGCTGATGAAACCGCGTTTGCGCCTAGAAATATTGCGCCTTCGGCATGCAGTTGCCTGTGACAAAGAATGGATCATAGCTCTACCCGCATGATGTGTCTGTACCAACACCTTCCAACTAGACCCAATAGATCTACGAGAGACGAACATGCCTGCGCGCACAACTCATAGGCTCGTCCTTGCTCCGCCCTGCCAAGCGCCTGACCATTGGCGCCGCGTGCTGACAAATCAGAGGCGCTCCGCAATCGCTAGCCGTCCAAAAAGGCCATTCCAGTTTGTTGACCACAATCTAAGAAAGACTACATTTTGGAAGCGTGGTGTAGAAGTCTACAAAAGGAACATCAAAAACATAATAACACATCTGCTGAACGATCCAGCCTGCTACACTGCCAAGCTTCTACAGTCGAGTAGATTCAGCGGTAAATATAGTGTGCCTGCACAGAAGGTGAAATGCGGTGAAATTTGCGCGTGAACAAGTAGCCACGTCAGTACCGCGGGTATCTTGCGCGCGCAATTGGCCGGCGCCACAGTCGAAACTATTTCTTCACGCGCCAATTTTACCGCATTTCACCTTCTGTGCAAGCACACTATGTTTACCGCTAAATCTACTCGACTGTACTTTGTAAAGGCGAGGAAACCTCATGAATCAATTGCATTTTTTCATGCGACGCAGTTGTTTGGTCGTGAAGATTCATTATCGCTCCGCAGTGGGCGATGGAAAAAGTACTGTAATGTGAAAGAAAAGAGGATGTGGACATCCACCATGTCCGAGGTGACCAATCGCTTTTCCAACATCAGATCAGAAAAAGTTTGGAACTACATTCAAACAGACATTCGTTGGACCTTGTTAATATGCAATAATATGTGTTCATATGTATAAATACAGAGTAAGTGACTTGAGCCTAAAGAAAAGAGAAGGCTATAAAACGACTCCTCCTGATAGCACTAGGCACTAAGCACAACAAACATGTACTTTAAAATAAATAAAGACAATATACATTACTCTTGAACATGCATCAGTTCCCATATCAGCTCATGCTCAAGTTTGACAGCTTGTTTCTGATGGCAAACATGACAGATTAAGAGAAAATTTTGTGTTTTTGGACCTGTATGGAAGCAGCCTTAGCCACGCCCTCGAAACGTTTTTTTTTTGCCTTCCATTAGTTTGATATGTATTTGGATAAGTTCCGAACATTTCGCTACCCAGTTCTCCTCATTACGCCACTGGACACAGTTATGGTGTTGCATCACTACCAGAATGTCTGATTGTGAGATCATAGAACATACATACGAAACGGATTTTTGAACACCGTTGGAATTCGGAAGCAGTTTCCAGCTTAACTCACGGCTCTCAACAAAATCCACAAAAGCGGTAATCAACTTTATGTCCATAGGCAGCTTTGCAAGTATGCTGAGAAATTCTATACAATGACATAAAAATCTAAATCACTAACAAAAGCTTCGCTCATATCCTAAGAATTTGATGTTGTTAAAGATAGTTCTGTACAGATAAAGCAGCACCGTTGTAAGTTTTACAACCTTGTACACACGGTTCAAGAAGAAGTCATAAGCTTTTCATAAAAGGTACATAAAATTCATCAAGCAACAAAATCGCAGAGATAACAACCTGAGAGGGATTATGTGATGAGAATCAAGTATACATAAGCATAAAATACTGGACTACGTTGGCATTGACACCATCTCATTGTGCGGCAGTGACTGATGTGAGCGAAATTTTAAGAGAAACGTGGATATGTGTTCTCGAAACGCGAAGAAAACGCTGAGGATAAAGAAGAAAGTTCCTCCTCCAGCAAATAACCAAAATCCACTTCCTAAGCCTCTCTAAACGAAAAGAATCTTTGTCGCATATTGCTGAACATCATAAACAATGATGATGACCCCAAAGTAAGATAAGCGGAGCTTTTCAAAAGGTCAAGTATCAGACGGAATGGGTGGAGATGAGATCTAGCTCAATTTTTTAGTATCTGATTATCTGATTTCAAACTCAATATGTACCATTCTGCATAGTGCCAAACTGATAATCAGAAATAGACAAGATTTTGAAGCCGGAAACCGCCCTAGCATGCGAATAAGTAAATGAAGCTCAAAATTAAGAAAGAACATACCTCGAAGTTTTGCGGAGTAGATGACATAAGGCTACCCGTAAAGCGTGTGATGACAATGATCAGAAACAGGAGTGCAAAGAGAAGCACTGAAACGATCCAGTTATCACATAAATCCACAAACTAATCTTTGCTCCTTTTGTGGTAGAGCAGCACTAACTCAGTATCACTCTTGACGAAGATGAATGATGACCTTTGTCAATTCAAAGTGATAAAAGAGAAATCGGAAAATGATTGGATTTCTGGTTTGTGGTTATATCTGAGAACGCACCCCTGCTGCATTCCGATCGGCTCGCACCCAGAAAACAGGCGATCACTATTTCACGAAAAATCAAAAAGACGAAGCGACGATTTTACTAATCTGGGGATCCTGATGTGATCCGAACCCACAGCTTGGTTATAACAGCGAAGCAGTGGCGTACCCAGAATTTCGGCTGAGGGGGGGGGGATAAAAAAATTTTTCTAATGAAGGTGCGTGGCGTCAGCCACGCACTCCGAAATATATTTTGGGATGTTTCCCAAAATTTTCCCACTTACCGAACAGCACAGATGATATGCAGAAAATTAAGAAAAGCACAGAGCACGCTTAATAAAAATAACTTATCATATAAAAAACCTACAAAACGCACCTCCTGCAGCACAAAAGTACACAACTCGTCGCTCATGTTGTCTTGCTAATTGCTCCGCCTTGACGTTGCAGCAACATACAATACAAAATGTAAACCACAGAAACTGAATGATGAGAAGAGTACGTGCTGTATATAGCGCTATATACATTGCTAAAAAGAAAAAAGAAAGATAGGAAAAAAACTACAAAAAGAGGCTCATAACAACCTGCATTCGGAGAAGTGACGTTTTGAAACGGATCTGGAAAAGGGGTATGGTCTGTCGAATGAGTAGTCCAAGGTACACACTGTATGGTGTCAGACTTGAAGCAATCATCATTCAGTCCTCTCTGAAAGGCATGTTACACGAAAGTATTATCACACAATACGACTTACCAAGAACTGTTTGGAGGAATCAGGATCCGCCAGCACTAGCCACGCATTATTGGAATAACCAAAAATCATTAATATCTCAGCTACTAGAGAACATGACACGGAATATATATAGGTACATAACCTATTATCTTCCACATCGCTCATTACCTGGAAAAAGAAAGCTAATCCAACGCAATAAATCGAGACTGAAACCAGCAAAGCAGTAAGTATTTCTGGAATGAAATGCTCAAGTATGCGTAGAAAAAACCAGCTTATTTATCAACACCTAGTATTAACCAGATTCCTACTCAAAAACGAAGCAGTAAGACGATAACTGCAAATTCTTCGTTATCTGTGTAAATAGAGCCACACGTCACGTTGCCACCTTTCGCGATAACGACGTTATATATAAGTAGAAGATGGGTTGTAAGCAAACAACTTGAACAGTGAGAGTTGGTCAAAGTTTAGTAAGTAGGGGGCCTGAGACCCTGAGGATCTACACGCACCATACTTGATCCACTTTGTCATTGGTCAATTCAATGAACTGACCAGTAGTGAAGCGATTGTCCACTTGATCCGCTTGATCCACTTTAGCCAGCTCACTATTGGCCAGTTCACTGAATTGACCAATGACGAAGCGGATCGAGCGAATCAAGTATGATGCATGCCTAAATAGCAAGTGAAAAGATTAGGTTGTGGAAAGGCAAAAAACTCGTATAACAATTCATAATTCATACCAAACTTAATCAAAGGATTGCAAGCACTGCGCGACTGTTCATTTGGTCAACACGCTGATGACCAAGTCAAAAAAGAGAGTAAGAGAGTGCACTAAATTTTCGCAATCACTGCTCCCGCACTCAGTGAGTCACCAATAAGAGACAAGAATAGTCTCAGCGTAATTGTTGCACACCACTTTACGTTCGCACGATTGCTTGAAAAAAAAAGGAGAGAAAGTACAGTTTCAAAAGCAAAATAAAGTGTTATAATTGGATTTAATTTCTAGAAACTCGACTAACCTTCTGGAACAAATAAGAGTTGGAACACCACACTCCCGCTTCAATCGGAGTAAAGTTGGGTTTTTTCCAGGAGTTGAGTCTTGCCTGAGCAGAAAATGTGCAAACATCAAGACAATTCAGTTCTAGTACTAGGTGACAAAGCTTATACGCGTTCAAGTGGATGACGCATTGTAAATTCCAACATTATTGTTCATTTGCGTGCGTCAATGCCTTTATACATAGTTGATTGTTATCTCATGTGAAAACATAACAATGTCGCAATACTGTAGAAAAAGATCATAGTAAAGAAAGTTAATTCAGAAAGTAGGTATAATCAAAAACGCTTTCAAGGCAGACGAATTTGAGGTAACCAGAATCTTAGTGCAATCATATTTTGACAAAGCGACGAAACAATGTACTCCCCATGATGCTTTACAAAGCGAAGTAAGATTCGGTAAAATAGGGTCAGACAATTCGTATGCAATCAAAAATGCATCAGGCTAAGAGATATTGATAAGCCGTTCATAAATTTTTTAAAATGTACTCTATTCAAAACCATTCGATAGGAGAAGGTTTGCGATGTGGTGATTTGTTTACCGTCGATTCAAGCACGTTTTAGCAAAAAATGAGTGCAAACTCGCGAACAGATCTAAGCAGAGTTCATGTTTGACGAAGGACTTGTTCTGTCGCGTTGAAGTCAAAAGACTTGATAGAATGCGAATTCATATAACTTATCAAAAATTGATGAGTTTCTGGAGGACAAACAAGTACAACAGTATACCCAACCTTCTTAAAGCGAAACGCTAGAGCATTCTGATTTGATGTGAAAAAGATAATCCGTTCAGGTGCAAATGTATGATGTTGAGAGTGCACAAACAAAGTAGAGACAAAGCAGTGAAGTTAACGTGGTCCTAATGCAGCAAAGCGAAGTTACTTCAACAGTCGTTCTTACTCGACGACTTTTAAACTAATATGCTGCAATCGCAAACAGCGAAAAATTCCTTTTCTTTAACAAATGATATGCATATTCTCCTATTCACTGTGGAAATGTCACTTCAGAAAAAAACGAAGTCGATATCGTGAAGGGCATAAGCGATTGTGTTTTGGGCATATCGAACCAGCAGCAATGCTCAAACACCATTGCGAAAAACGAACTTCTAGACTAAAGTGCAATGCCTTGCAATACGTTTCCCAGCGCTCGTTGCTAGCAAAACTACAAGCGGTGTCAATAGCAACCCCATGCAGTAGGTACATATTCTTCAGATTATCTGTACTGCGTTGTAGATGACAATCACAACCACCTAATACAATCAGAAACAAGTAGTGCGACAACAAAGTACAACCATGTCAAATACTATACCAAAAATTTTGCAGTGTGACATTCGTAGAAGTTCGTACATTCACTCGGCTTCAAATGCAGGAAAAATTCAAAAATATGTGAGCTTACTTTTCTCGATAGCAGGTTCGAGATTTCATGAGTAAGAACGGTCTGCAGAAAAAAATACATACGAACATAAAATATATTTCCTTTCTTATCATATCTACTAGAAATTTTGGTCCTCGTCTTCCTGTCTTCAAAACTCCAACAAAAATCACTAGTAATTTCTCTTTGATAGTGGGGTATTTTGCTTGAGGAACTTTGAGTAAAGAAATATAGAGGATAGATAAAACCGGCAAAGTGCTCGACTGAATCCCACCGAACAGTCAAAAAAATGTCTTCTCACACGTTACCGAAAAGGGCGAAAACCAAAGTTGACTCTAAAAAGCCTTCCAAGGTTCTCAATCATAAAAGCAACAATACAGCTAAGTCCAAGCGAAACAACAACAAAGCAGAAAAGTGGGTGTACAGTCGAGTAGATTTAGCGGTAAATATAGTGTGCTTGCACAGAAGGTGAAATGCGGTAAAATTGGCGCGTGAAGAAATAGTTTCGATTGTGACGCCGGCCAATTGCGCGCGCAAGATATCCGCGGTACTGACGTGGCTACTTGTTCACGCGCAAATTTCACCGCATTTCAACTTCTGTGCAAGCACACTATATTTACCGCTAAATCTACTCGACTGTATGTCGTAAGGCGCGGATTTTCTTACGGCGGCCGCGCAGGACTGCGTTGCGGCGCCGCGGCAGTTTGAATTTCGTCCGGTATACTCGTCCTACTCTGTCGTCTTCGATGGCGAGCACAAAGCGCGTCAGGTCGGCCCTGCTGGCGCGCAACGGGAACCTCTGGCGTCACTAACTCCTTCGGATCGATACACTGCCGGGTTTTTCGTTCGTCAGGGCACCGCATCTTCATTCATGATGTTTCTGAACGACTCTTGCTGCCCTTTTCTAAAACTTTACTATCGTTTCAAATTTCAGCTCCACAGTTTTCTTCGAAGGAGAGAGCAATTTGGCGCAAGTGTAGGTAGGTTTTGTAGGTTCGCATTCGTTCTCGTGAGCACAATGGTCGTTCGACCTGTTCCATAACCAAACGAGATCTCGTGTCAGGCAAAGATTTGGAAAAAGGTCAGATCTCCAGTAGTTCATTGCACGTGATGAAGAAAGTCATTTATAGAACACAAATCACATTCCGCGAATATATGCGCTATCAGGCTATGACAGATACGAGCCGTTTATCGCTTCATAAACAAAGGCGATGTTTTATGGTTGGTAGCCAGGTGAGCTGATTCATAATTCAAGTTTTTCTTACTAACAGATTCGTTTGGTTATAAGTTTTGTCATTCTTGCGTCACTTGATTTGTTACAATATCTCAGACTTTTACCACATTACTTTATTATTCTCTTTTATTACTTTTATTACTTTTAGTACCTCAATCTTGATATCTGTACCGTACTACCACCGTCAGCATGCCCATTGCAAATCGACGGTCATTTGATGTTTCTTGAAACCTACACCACCATTCCCAAGGGCGAACCACTACCTCTCCCAGATTTCCTCACCATTGAGAAGGTTGGTTCTCAGATCTTATCAACATTTCAAATGGTAGTAATCGATATATTCTAGGAAATTACTGGCCAGTCTGCATACAGTATGTATTTTATGTCTAAGAAACCAGATGCGGTTTGCGAAGTAGAAGAATTTTTTGGAGCCGCTGAATTCAAGGACGATTGAATAATCGTATAAAATGTCCAAGGATGGATGTAGAGTCGAAGATTTTGAGTTATTTCGAAAATTGCTGAGCTGCCATGATCGATATGGTTATAAGGTACGTAGATTACGAACCGGTCGATCATTATTGCTCATTTATCGGTAGGAATCCTGTGACAGAGAATCTAATCAGTATAGGGGTATTCGTTATGCAGCCATGATTATGAATCTTCAGTCATACGTTTATTTTCATTTGCCTTTACCGTTTTACTTTCCGTTCTTTGCCATCAATAGAAGAGATTATACTTCCACAGCCGCCATTGCATTCCATATGTAAATAAGTTTATTGAGTTATAGAAATGTTTGTGGTAGATGTCAGTACGTTACCCAACACAGCCCGAAGCATTCCGAGTTTGTTGTTCTTGACAACAGCGCAGTCTTTCTAGCACTACGTTCTCACTGATTTTGTAATATGTCTTTCATTTCACAGCTTCCCTATATGTGTCTTCAGCTTGCACAAATGTGCCATGTAATGGCTATATTTCCTCAAGATTTCTCGAGTGATATTAGATGTTTTTCTCTGAGTTTTTCTTTGTTTATTTTGTGATTTTTGAAATCTACCTTTTCGGTGCGAGCTCCCAGTCAAGCCAATATGAGCGATCCCTCGTGATGCTTCAAGTGCCTTAAAAATGTGCTACCAAATTCACTCTCATCGTTCAACCTTTGTTATTACACTGTGCTTTAATGAATGGCCACAAGTCTTCCGTAATCTAAAGTCATCTCTTATGCAGTATGTCCATTGTATGTGCAGAAAACATTCAATTAATGAAATTTCATTATGAATGACAACGTTGTACCCCATAATAATAGAAAGACAAGAATACACGACACTGAGCTGTACAGGGTGCTTGAGGAAAGAAGAGCATTTTAGGACTTCAAAACAAACAACAAATTAAAGCGCTTCTGTACACCTGTAACAATATTATTATGGCAATGTTAAAGCGGAAAGGGGTAAGGCACGATATGAGAGCACCGATGATAATGAAGATACACCGCACTTTACGAGATCTGGTTGTGTTCGACGATCTCCCAAAACCTGAGTTTGGAAATTTGATATTTATGAGCGAATGGAATATAGCTGTCGTACGGCTGCGTTTTATCATCTTGATTAGGATAACTCCATTTTTGCAACTCATAATCGTCTAAGTCAATTTCCTCTGAAGGATCGCCCGTCTGTAAATCGTACATTTCAGATATTCAATAGCAAAATCAAAAAAAAATGATTCGAAAAACTCACCGCTTGGGTTATATCTTCAAAGTAATTTTCGATGTTTTGAATATCGGGGTCCCTTTCGCGATCACATTCCTGCAGCGTTGCTGCTCGGGCCAATCCTGAAAAAACCTTACATGAAGACCTGTGAGCTTAATACCAGCCACTAAAGCATGAACACTGTGATACAAACGACAGACACATGAAACATAGGAATTTTATGAAAATAAATCGACAGTGAGAATTCTTGTTTGCAAAAACTGAACTAAAGTTTTAGTTCCAAAAATATGACCCTTCCTTCCAATTCATAGCTACTTGAAAATTTGACAAAAAACTCGCAACTAGAGTAGTTCCATATGCGCATACTTCAATTTTCTCTGCTGACCTCGGCTGGCACTAACTCTCCCATTTCACGCGGTTTCCCAGGTGCTCCACATACTCTCCCTAAATACGTCTAGCCGAGGTTATTTATATGCAGGGAGCGCTATTTTTATTTGGCTAAGCGATCAAAGTTCTAGTAACAAGGAGATGTTGAGAGGAAAGCATCAAAGAGTTGTGGACAATGGCGAAAAAAGAAACAGAATATATAGAAACATTTTGAAAAGAATAAAAATTACAAATTCATACACCGTACCTGTCTCTCAAAGATATGAGTATAGACATTGTAGCGACCATCTCAGTGTGCGCGTCTAGCTCTTCTGAGGAATCGCACTCGTGGTGAAGAACACCTGGCCTCTGAAAATGATGACAATCAAGCAACGTCGCGTCACACACCACAATCAGCTGATGAAGATGACGTAAATTCTCAAAAACATCATGAATGCTGTCGTGATACAATTGCGACGGAAAATCCAGCAGTGTATCGATTGGAGGAGTAGAGACGCAGCGTCCCGCATTGCGCGCCATCAGGGCCCACTTGACGCGCCTTGCGCGTGCCACCGAGGACGGCAGAGTGGGACGAGTATACCGGGCAAATTTCAAACTGCCGCGGCGACCGCAACGCGGCCCTGCGCGACCGCCGTACGAAAATGCGCGCCTTACGACCGTCTCCCGCAGAAAAGTGCACTGCCCTCCTGCAAGAAGCGTGCCTGGCGGCCGCGTCGCGTCCTCCTCGGCCGAGCACATTATTCGGGCACATCAATTACTGTTCGCCTCGATCTCCGTGGTTGCTTAGGCGTTGAATTAAGACGCGTCGGGATGAATGTTGCAGCGAAAGCACTCACAAGTGAAAGTGCGATTGTGCAGATTTGATTGGGTGCTGTTATAGGGCAAATGATGAGTTTCGAAATATCTTCAGAAATAGGATCAACCACGCAAGAAATGAGAGTAGCAAGTAACACAACGGTAACCTTGCAAATAATCTTCTTACATGTGGCCTTCATTTCAAGTTCGACGAAGAAGATTTAGTGGATTCGTCGTCGAAATTCATTATGCAGCCATGAATGACGCTCGACCATGACGATGTTCGCACACCTGGCTTCGTTTCACTGAGTACCGGAAGTCAACAAATGGGGAGCGGCAAAGAATGTTTCCTCAGAGCGAAAAGCATGACAAAAGTTTTTTTCAAAAGCTGAGGTGAAGTAAGCCACGCTATGCTACGTGCCAGACTTGCGGTTCAACCGGCTCATCCCGTTCATTCCATTCCCTATTCAGTGATCTGACCAATAGCGAACGGGTCTCACGAACCGATTGAACCGGATGAGTTTGGCATCTGCTTACCCGAGATCTTCTTTTTTGACTCTGCAGATTCTTCACTCTTGCCACCACAAATTCTGTAAAACTGGGAGCATGTCGGCAGCGTCTTTACGAGGCTAATTTGAACTTTGTATGATTCTGTGTTAGCCGCCGTTTTAATACCGCATACTCATGTTTTCATCAGTGCGATCGCCACGCAGAGCTTTGCGCTCGTTCGCGACAAGACAAGCAGAATTTTCGGGTACTTTAGCTGCTTCCCTTCATAAACAAAGAAATTTTTTCCATTTGTTTGCAAATAAAAACAATTTGATTGCAAAATTTTTCGATTTTCGTAGATCAGTTTTGATTCCCTCCCGTCACTGCAGCGGACGAGTAAGTAAGGTTCACATCCGAATTTACAAATCGCATATGCAAGCCTGGACGAAAAGGTGAAGTGGAGTGTGAGGCAGGAAGGTGTCAGATACAGTGACCGCCAAAAAGTTGCGGACAAGCCTCCCTCCCTTTTTCATCGCTCTTTTTCAGAAGGAAAACAAGGATGAAAAAATGTAATAATTGCACGAGGTGATAGAGCTCTTCAAGATCTACAATCTATACTTTGGGTTTTTTGAGAAACATATGTTCTAAAAATTTTAAGAATCTTTTTCTAACGGACAATAATTCTTCGTAAGCACAAATTTTCTTTTGAGTCCTTTTTTAAAGCGGAAACACAAGTTATCCGGACGGGTAAGCATACTATTATACAGAGCTCGTCAAGAACTACACACTGGTTATGGTTGCTTCCCCAGAAAATGCAAGCTTGGGTTTTATTTTAGTTTTTTCAAAAAACAACTTCTAATTTCATTTATCAAGCCAAATTTCTTCACACGGAAACCTGTTCAAGACATCCCAACAAAGCCGTCTGGATAAAATAGATGCTCTTTGCCATCCTCTATGCATCGGACGTGTGCTGATGAGTTTCTTGGCTGAAAATGGCCCTTGGCAGTGCTTGCACATGACCCCACCTGCACCTCACCACTGACTTGTACCGTTTTGCAAGCTTGTAAGTCGGTCTGCAGTCAATAATTGAGCCTGCGATTAGGCTTTTTCGAAAGAACGAGACTTCCTCTACACGATGGTATGCACATAAGTTCAGTTTGAGCAATCCCAGAGATTTGGCGGATGGGGTGCTAGAGGGCAGCTTCAGTTGTAGTCTGAGCATTTTTCAGCTAAAGTTGAAGAGAGCTCCTTTCGCTATCAATTTCATCCTGGAAGTTCAAAACTGTCAATTTTCTTGTAATAGATCCATTTCGAAGCTCTAAGACTGTTCTGGTGTTCATAAGAGCTTTCACTCTAATCACCTCTAAGGCTGCACTTTTTCACCCCATCCGCCAAATCTCTGGGATTGCTCAAACTGAACTTATTTGCATACCATCGTGTAGAGGAAGTCTCGTTCTTCGAATGAGTCTAATTGCAGGCTCACATATTGACTGCAGACCGAGTTACAAGCTTGCAAAACGGTACAAGTCAGTGGTGAGGTGCAGGTGGGGTCATGTGCAAGCACTGCCAAGGGCCATTTTCAGCCAAGAAACTCATCAGCACACGTCCGATGCATAGAGGATGGCAAAGAGAATCTATTTTATCCAGAAGGCTTTGTTGGGATGTCTTGAACAGGTTCCCGTGTGAAGAAATTTGGCTTGATGAATGAAATTAGAAGTTGTTTTTTGAAAAAACTAAAATAAAACCCAAGCTTGCGTTTTCTGGGGAAGCAACCATAACCAGTGTGTAGTTCCTGACGAGCTCTGTATACTAGTATGCTTACCCGTCCGGATAACTTGTGTTTCCGCTTTAAAAAAGGACTCAAAAGAAAATTTGTGCGTTTGAAGAATTATTGTCCGCGACATTGTGACGCGGCCATTTTCGGTTTTTTTTTAGAAAAAGATTCTTAAAATTTTTAGAACACATGTTTCTCAAAAAACTCAAAGTGCAGATTGTAGATCTCGAAGAGCTCTATCACCTCGTGCAATTATTACATTTTTTCATCCTTGTTTTCCTTCTGAAAAAGAGCGATGGAAAAGCGAGGGAGGCTTGTCCGCAACTTTTTGGCGGTCACTGTATATATTAGGTTGTCCCGAAAGTTTTGTCGGTTTCTTTCATCGCTCACCAAAACTCATAGAACGCCAATCCATAAACGATCTAGGTATCAAACTATTCAGGTTCTTATCCTCTTTCTAACAGCTATATTTGTTTTCTGATCTACCGCGTCTTTGCGATGTTATCGCCATGGCTTTTTGAGCACCCAAGCAGTAGCGACAAATCTTTCCTGAATTTTAAAAATTTTTATACTGATATTTTCGAAGGGCGCTGGTGACTATTATGTAGAGCAAACCTTTGGCTACATTGTACCTATTTTAGATTATGTGAGCCACGTTTATTAAGTCCGTTATGATTATCTATTTAATGAAAACCGCAGCTTTTTGATTACGTTTACAATGTAAAAGTACCGAAAATTCAAAAAAGATGATTTTTGAAGCAGATCAAACTTGGTTAGGTTGCATAAATGATGTTTGATAGATCAAGTTTGAATTCGCAGAGACTTCAAAAGTTTTCTTGCTTTTGCTGCAGTTGCGTGTTTCATGACTTTGCTAAAAATCAAGGCCTTCGAAGAAGAAATTTTTCAAAGCTAGATACAGCAGATTAGGAAGATCTGAAATCCTTATCTTGTAGCCCGAAATCTGCTCTATGTATTTGATCCATACTTGATCCTTTCCGGAACTTTGGCATGAGATTTCTTAAAATTAGCCTACCTTTGAGCAGATAAAATTGACAGGTGGAGAATTTTGGCAATTATTAAAAAAAGCGTACAAGATTGTGGTTCCAAAATGCATCCATAAGAAAGAGAAGGAAAAGCTGCATCGAACGCATATTAGAACTCATTCGAGTCTTTATTGTGCGTGGTTTTATAATCGTTTGAAAAAACCGACAAAACTTTCGGGACAACCTAATATATCGTGAAGAAATGGTGTACCCAGGATTTCCGTTCGGGGGGGGGGGGGCAGCATTTTTCCGAATGAAGGTGCGCGGCATTTCACGCACTTCGAAAGATGTTCTGAGATGCTTCTCAAAATTTTTGCGGGCCGCTGACTCCGAGATTGCAAAAAAGGCCCGAAAAATTTTTTTTACAAGGCTAATTTGAAATTTCAAAAATTTTCAAAAATTGTTCCAATTATTTACGAGTAAAAGTAAAGTACGAGTCTCTTGCACATCTTTTTAATACATTCAAGTAACTTTTACAAATTTCGCGACCCATTCTCAGGGAAGAGGGAGGGGGGGGGGGGTGAGGACTCATACTACCATACAGAATATGATGTCTTCTCCTAGAAGCTTTTTCTTTCTGCCACTGGCACCACCCTATGTATCACTAGCAGCTCAAACTGTTCAATATTAGGTTGCCCATAAGCTTTGCAACTTCTTCCATAACTAATTCCTTATTCAATGTACCACTCTCATTCACTGCCAGCATGTACTGTGATGTAAGCTGCATGTCTGCGCAAACAGTTTGATTGATAGCTTAATAGGAAAACTGTATCAAAAACTGTTGAAAAACGGGGTTTCACAGTTTTTTGGCAAACATGAAGCCGTACAACACCTCACTCAAGCATATCAAAAAAATTCAAAGGCAGCATGTAGCTAGTAGTTGACACATTAGAATCGTAAAAAAGAAGTGAAGTTTGAGGACGAATTATAGGACGATAGGGCGCTTTCGTGAAGTTGAACAGGTCAAATGCGTCAAATTCGGAAAACACCTGTCGATAACTGCCGCGAAACCTCAGAATTCGTTAAAACTTCACACAATTGGGTAATTCAACATGGTAAGCGCGAATAACATATTCATTTGTCGCTAAGATGAAATAACAAATAGAATTCCTTGACCTTACGAAAGAGGCCTTTTCATGCGCAAAGCTTCTCGTTTTTGTGGTCAGCATGCCGATTAACTCCTATAGGATAAATTTCAGCAAAATCTGACGCAATGTATTAGGTTGGTGCAAAAGTAATGCGCGTTTGGCGAGTTCTCACTTTAACGTGCTATAACTTTCTTAAAAATCCATTTGTTCAATGCGATAAAGACCATCAAAAGCAGCAAACCTTTCCAATACAGCTCACATCCTTCTAGAATCATATCACAAACGGACACAAAATCATCGACTGATAAGCAAAAATTTTTTTTAAATCTCGTCAAAAATCTTTTTCCCTGCCCGATCGGGTTGCATTACGTGCCGCTTACAGACCGATAGTAACTATTCAAAAAGAAAGTTTATGCCCTATATGCCGCTTGAAGACCGTTTAGGAATTATAAGAACTGCCCCAAACATACAAAAATCTGTTTCCCTGCCCGATCGGGTTGCCCTACGTGCCGCTTACAGACCGAGAGTAACTATTCAAAATGAAAGTTTAATCCCTACGTGCCGTTTCAAGACCGTTTAAGAATTATAAGGACTGCCCCAAACATACAAAAATCTGTTTCCCTGCCCGATCGGCTTGCTCTACGTGCCGCTTACAGACCGAGGGCAACTATTCAATAAGAAAGTTTATGTCTCACTGCCGCTTGAAGGCCGTTTAAGAATTTTAAAAACTGCCCCAAACATACAAAAATTTGTTTCCCTGCCCGATCGGGTTGCCCTACGTGCCGCTTACAGACCGAGAGTAACTATTCAAAATGAAAATTTTAGGAATTATAAGAACTGCCCCAAACATACAAAAATCTGTTTCCCTGCCCGATCGGGTTGCCCTACGTGCCGCTTACAGACCGAGAGTAACTATTCAAAATGAAAGTTTAATCCCTACGTGCCGTTTCAAGACCGTTTAAGAATTATAAGGACTGCCCCAAACATACAAAAATCTGTTTCCCTGCCCGATCGGCTTGCTCTACGTGCCGCTTACAGACCGAGGGCAACTATTCAATAAGAAAGTTTATGTCTCACTGCCGCTTGAAGGCCGTTTAAGAATTTTAAAAACTGCCCCAAACATACAAAAATTTGTTTCCCTGCCCGATCGGGTTGCCCTACGTGCCGCTTACAGACCGATAGTGATATGCCTTATGTGCAGCTTGAAGATCGTATATATAAAAATCGTATATATAAAAAGCCAATTTTACGACTCAACAGAAAGAGAACAACGAAATCAAGTATTTATAGCGTATTCTCAAACTGCCGTGCATGCCACTTTTGGACTTTCAATTCTGAGGACTGCCCCAAACAAAAATCTGTACAAAAATCTGTTCCCTGCCCGGTGGAATTGCCCTACGTGCCGCTTACACACCGATACCCAGTTGAAAGCACCAGCGGGACCCAGTTATACAAGCAAAGCAAGGTTGCTGTTAGATAAACGCTTTCAAAAGTACCAGCGAGGCCAAGCTACTCACGCACTCTCTTGTCTCCACGCGGAAGCAAGATAATCCTAAAGTGACTGTTGTTAGAGCATTTTTGGGAAGAGTTGAGAATATAGATAAATTTAGCTCAAGTCACGCTTTCACGCAATTTGGCATCATTTCAAAAGCAACCAATAGGAGTAGAACGTATTTGAAAGACACACTTTAGGATAACAAGTTCGATTTTAAAAAGCTGGTACAAATAGCACACCCGGACACTGGCGACACAGTCTCAAAATCATTGCGACACTCATGATTGTCTTTCGAAACCCGTGTGACCCTTTTACGAAAATATGCTTGGTCGCTCGTTATGAAATTTGGCAGCGTTCCAAAACGCATGCCACTTGGCAGCAATCCAATTCCAAAGATCAGTGTATTTCATCATAATTTTTACGTCTGCGGCCTCCTCGTTTGCCATGATCCAACTATCGGCGGCTTAATGGGTAAACAACGAATTCATTATATATTACGTAGTGATCATAACTCCCTCAAAATTAGTTAGTATGATTGCTAAGTAGCCTATCTTGTAGATGCAAGCCAGTAGTACAAAGTGAAATGGAAAGGGCTCAGAAGAAGAGGATTTCCAAAAAGAAAAATATTAAAACTCAAAGTTGTCAGCTTTTTTCAACATTCTTTCGTAGGCCTCAAAGTCCCGAAACATGCTGTTTTTTGATTTTTTGCGTATCAAATAGCTAGACGTTTTTGCAAAAACTGTCAACAGGAGGCACATCCTTACGCTTACAGAAATTAGTAAAGCTTTGGCGATTGCGTTCTTCAAAGAAATTTATAGGCCACAGAATAACCAAAACGACTTCCCTTGTTGAGACGCTGATATCTATCTAGGCAAACTCTAAGAAGATACGAAAGTGTGCATTTTGTAGACAACTTCTGTTGCATAAAGTAGCCGAACTTTAAAAAAAATGCCTTCATTCGCGTCTGAGAACTGACCAGATAAGTACATGCAAAAAAGTTCTGATTTCGAGTGCGGTCGTGTGAAGCTTTGCGAATTTCTAACGAATGAGACTAGAAGCTTGTTTCAGCAAGCATTGGGCAGAGCATGAAAAGAGCTTCTTGACGGTATGTTAAGCCTTTTCCAGAGAAGGAGGTTTGATGGATAAAAGCTGTTGAAACAAGGGTTAGAAAAACACGCATTACTTTTACCAACCTAAAAAAAGGCTTAAGATCAGAATTTTACATCATAATCTTATATTGCCAGAAAATGAATGCGCTACGTTCAAAAAGACAAAAGTTATTTGAAAAGTTGCATTACTTTGTGCCAACTTAATAACCTGCTCTCTTATGTAGTCCGGCTTTCTTTTCGAACATTTCCGAAATGCACGAATGTAGATGGTAGTGCAATGAACCGGTTCTCTCGTAAATATCACTGGTTTTTTGAATTCTCAGATTAGTCGCTAGCCTTCTCAGTCACATTTTATTCACGAATGTCTTAACGCCGTCGCGCCTTGAAAAACACACCTGTAGATTACTAATGATTGCACATTGTTACTCTAGCTCGATTACTTCCACGTTGTCGAGCTTTAGTCTAAGGAATGTTGATTTTCCCACAATGCCGCGAAATACGACATAAATAAAAAGGTGGGTTCGTGTTGTATGTGTTTGACAATCTCTAAGGCGAATAGGAACCAAAAACTACAGAAGCCGCTGTTTGAAGAAGATGCCAATGTCGGAAGCGGCAGTGGGAAACTCGGCTAAATGCGCAATATATGTGGAAATTTCCATTTTATGAAGGAAATATTGGGTATGACCGAATGTCAAAGATCTCAATTTTGCGTTTTTCAATACTGCTCTAGAAAAAGATTTTTTCGGTTACATTTATGAGCTTCCATTCTCACTTTGATTAGAATCATTTGAAATACAAAAATCAACAGAAGTGAACTCCTGATTAAGGAGTAAAGCTTACGGTCCGAGAAATTTTTTGAGGGCGCGACAGAAACTCCGACAATTTTTTGGGATGATGTTCGAAATTTTCGAAGGAACCATCATACGCCTCGAAATTTCTTTACAAGGTTAATTTGAATTACAAGTATCAAGCATAATGCGCTCCCAACCTTATCACCGATTTTGTCATTTGATCTTTTGACTTACAAACACCATGTCCAGTCTTCATTCAGAAATCGAACTTCCCTAATGTACCCTAATTTCACGCGTACAAGGCGCGGGGTGGTCCTAGCTTTCATCGAGCTGCTCAGCCGCCCCTACGTGGAGCTGCTCAGCCGCCCCTACGTGTTTTAAAAAGCGATCCTTATGCCGCACGATTCGTCAGGCAAAACGCAGCACGGTATGGGGTTCCTTTGGTTGCGAAGTCCTTTGCCGAGTTCGGGCTGGTCGATGAAAGCTAGGACCACCCCGCGCCTTGTACGCGTGAAATTAGGGTAAATGTTGTATGGAGTGAGCTTGACTACTCGCTACTGCCCTGTAAGATGTAGTATAACAAATCAATCAATCCGAGTAATGGATTCAAACATTTATAGAAGGTGAACCCCCTCCCAGAAAATTTTTGAGTGAGAATGAAATGTTATAGATTTGTAGTAATCCAAGTTCAATCGATTGCGCAGCACTCGTTTGTTTTGAAAAAAGTGAGATAATCAAAAGTTTCAAAAGGTTCCTGAGGAGTTGGAAATCTACTAAAGGACTTTTGACCAACATTTTCCAAGCAGTCTGGATTTATGGATACGTAATACAAAATCGGTTTTCGGTTTCGCTTCTAGGAAAATTGCAGCCACTAAGCAGAGCCTGCGCTGAATTGGCACCACGAAGGCCATGCAGCATTTGCACATCTTCAATTCCCAATGTAAGTCAGTTCCATCACATTGCATCCTTGGCTACTACAACCTCTTCTGACATTTAGGCAGCTTCGTATCATTCTCTACAATAAGACAAGACAACTCTGTGGCCACGAGGTTCCTATCAAAGTCCCCGAAAATGCCACAATCTACAGAGTAATTTTTGCATTGACACAGTACGACGTGGATATGACCACATCCATGTTCCAGGTGAAACGTGAGATAGAAAAAGTGAAAGCAGTACCTCATCAGATCCAGTGGATAGTGTTTGGAGGTAAGATGCTCGTATGAAATATGCAACTTATTGTTAGTATACATAAGTCATTTCATATGATCATGTGTGTCATTGCACACGCTGTCCGCCTTTGGCGTCCCCATCCTGTCACATCGCAAAAACGCAAGAGACTGACCAATTGTTAGTGCTCACATCACTTTGTGAAGATTGGTACCAAAAAGGAGAAAAAGAAGAAAAACGGAAACACTTAGCAGAAGGATTGCCTGTTCCTAAAATCCAAGATTAGGCCAAAGGTGGACAATATGCGCACTGACACACATGGTCATATGAAATGATTCGACTGTAGTTTAAAGAGCTGTCCTGTGGATGGGTTTTCAAGGGCGATTAGGACTAGCTTTTATCGAACGTTTGCGTCAAATTTCTGAATGTAAATGTACATCCAACAAATGCTGTGGGTGTAATAAAACCTTCAAAGAGATGCCTCTGTTCTACGTTAAGGTTTTTTGATTTTAAAATTTTTTGTAGATTTTACAATGGCATTGCCCTTGCCGTTACAAATATCTGCGATTGAACCGCAAATCGTTGCACACTCCCTTCCGAATATACATTATATATCGTGGTTCGAAAGAGTTAAAGCCTGTGTTTCAACGTTCATCTCATAGGCACCCGCTTCGCATGCCTCTCGCGCCTTTGCGCTGCCTTTGGCTCTCCTTTTCAAGGTATTATTGCATATTACCAACGCGCTTTTCTCTCTGTAAGAAAATATTCATTGACAATCCCTAAATATGACGTAAACGCCCTGCTTTGGGTATTGGACCGGCATAACGTTGGTAGAATTTTTCAGAAGCAGCGAGTTTTTGATGTGTATGACTTCTTGTAGCTGCTTCATATCTCTCAGCTGCACGTTTTGCGCTCGAGTTTCTGAGTGTTGAAAACTTATCATTTGCCCGGGGGTGGAGGACATTAGGTCGCCGAAAGAGGGCGGTCCTCGCGGTCATTTGCGACAAATACGCACCCTTGTACATACGCGGACATGCGTTCCTGCAGGGAATCCGCGCGGGACTCTTCCAAATTCGGCGACCTAATGTCCTCCACCCTTTGCCCGGGAGCCTTGCTAGGATTTGTAAGCTTCCTTGTTCTCTTCGTTGCTTGTTGATCGCTCTTCGACCTCTTCCGGATTGCTTGTCGATGCACCTGCTTTTGGGTTAGGTAGGGAGCGCGTACGTTGCGTTGATGTTTTGCGCTGATGACGACCGGGACGGACTGTGTCCATGGTCCGCAGTAAACACTTCTTCATCGCAATTCAGCTGGGCTGAACCTAAGTCGGACGGATGTCACCCAGCGCAGTATCAGTAGTGCCATCAGTCTTGATGCGGGCCGCTCTTTGGACAAGGTAATCGTACCATCGCTTCCCAGATCGAGGCGAGGGCGGAGTCGGGGCGAGCATATCAGCGGCGCGGTTGTTCACCAAGGCATTGCTGTTGAATTGATTCTCGGCTGACCATTGAGGCCGCCGGCAAGCCCATACAAAAAGAAAAAAAGCGTTTTCGTGCTTTTCTGGCTACAATCAGCTGTTCATCGACATTTCATCCTTAGGCCCCGAAACTGTGCAGTGCGCACTTAGCGTCCTAGCTATACGTCACTATACGCGTCCGCTCAGATAATCGCCGGGGGCAGGCGGCCATGCGAATTTTGAGCAAGCGCGCACCGGAAAAATAGTTCGTTGATTTTTTGCGGCCCGCTTGCAGAAATTTGGAAGAAAGTTGGCGAAATTAAAGACGAATGCTTGAAGAACAATCGCGGTTTCTTTATGGATTAGCTGCGGCGCAGTGGCCGCATTCTCGCGGACTTTCCGCGAGAATATGCAAAAATTTCGGGGGCCGCACGGTCCTTTTTGAAGGACCGCACAGCCCTCAGGTACTTTCCGCTGAAAGAAAGTACCCCAAACTTGGGTAATAAAACCATCGATGGCACCTCTGCCACATAGAGTCTCATCTTTTCTCGGCGTACGCCCGAAACTGCGTAAAAAGAGTCTGAGCGCCTGCTGAAAGTTTGGCCAGCGCTCGCTGAAAGAGATTGTTTGACGAGCGCTTGCAGAAAATTTTGTATTGATGCCCGCTTGCAGAAAACGCAAATACCGCCCGCTGAAGATTTGGCCACGCCCCGAAATCCTGCTGACCGCCTGCAGAAAAGCGCGAGTTTGCGGACCGCCTGCCCCCGGCGATTATCTGAGCGTATACTTACGAACAACCCACTGTCTGCTTAGCCAAAATAGTGTGCAAGCTCCGCTTTGCACACTATTTTTGCGTGTTAACTTACGAGTTACTTTGAATTTGAGGCAGTACGTTAAAAAGACCGTGGCACACTTGACAGGACGGTCTTCTGACTATTCAGTTTACCTCAAAACATGGGAAGGTAGGCGATTGTAAGTTTAAGTTGAGAAGTTCCCATAATGGGATCGTCTCAGTCCAGTTGAGTTGATTGGGGGTTTACTATGGCCCATCTCTTGCAAATACAATGCCTCGAATACTTCGGGTCCTTGCAAATGATGTCTTTTTTGAGATATCCTGAAGCTATTCAGATGCATCAAAAAGAGGTTTTCGCGCAATCTCTTTGGAAGGTCAGGGAACTGAAGGTGGTCATCGTTCCGGTGAGCTGTACATAGATGTAGGCCATTAGCTGCAATCCTCTGAATGTGCACCGCAAAGCACAGTGCCACACTGTACAAAATAGGATAAGTGGCAGTGGCGGGACCCCTTCTCGAAGGGCGGCCCTTTAAAGGCACCGTCCACCCAAAATCTCGAATCCAATGTTTTTGTCGCCTTCAGGTCTTCTGAATGCCCTGATTCCGAATATGGAGTCGAAAATCGCGAAACCCCCAAGAATCCCTGTTTCGAGAACCCTCTGCAACAAGCGCAGACGAGACAAAGCATGCAAGTGGACGGGACCATGGTCGCCCCGCCTAAGTTGCTACTTCCGGAGCGGATTTCTCGCTCCAGAAGCAGTCTTTTGCGGCGAAGCTTGGGAGTTTGCCTAGTGTGGGGGCCCACACTAGTATGCCATCATAATCTCGCCAACCTCCATTTTGGGTGGACGGTGCCTTTAAGAATACCCGTCCCCAAAAATGGGTCGCAAAATTTCTAGAGGTTACTTACATGTCAAAAATGTGCAGGTGCTTATTCATATCTGTGAAGGATCAAAGCATTCCAAGGAATTCTTGTAAAAATTCAAACTGGCCTTATAAAAACGATTTCCGGATATAGGCCCTCAAAAATTTTGGGAAGCATCTCAGAAAATTTCCGGGGTGCGTGGCTACGCCAATAGTACAACTAGTGTCACACTCGTTTTATACAACACAGCTGTAGGATTCTTCGAAAATATAGAAATCCTAGCGTTATTGCTGCTACATAGATGCTTCGCAACCTTGTAGAACTGTCTGGCATTGTGCGCAATTTTTTCGCATCTCTGTCTTTTGAGGGTCACTGCTTTCTTTTTGATGTCCTACTGATGTGCTCTTTTACGCTCTTTTTAGCGAGGAATCTGCAAGATACCGAGAGGCTGTCCGACTACGCAATTCGTGATGGCTACACGTTGTATTCTGTTCCTACATTTATAGAAATCCCATCTATTCCAAATCTATAAATCTTTGCAACGTCGTTTGTTGTGTTTTTCTATTTGATTTGCGTAAAATGGGTACCACGAAATAGATGTTAGTAGTCGTGTTGTGTGGAATCTTGAACGCTGAGTGAACACAATGCTACCTTTTTACAAATAGATTTTTCAAGCAACATCAATTACCTGTTTTTTTTTGAAGGAACACTTGTGATAGAGACTTATTATTTCACATCATATATGCTCCAAAAATTTTGGCTTCCTGCCAATTGTGACGAGAATCTGGTAAGAACCCTATCGAGGTTTTGATCTACTGTTCAGTTTAAACAGTAAGAAACTCCTCTACACCTTAATCGCATCTTCCTTTCTCGAACTCTAAGTAAATTTTAGCAATCGAACTTGTGTGTGAAGTACAAAGAGTGAAACATTTATGCTGAACAAGGTTATGATGAAAATAATTTCAAGAAATGTATGGGATATCTACGGAAGTGGTAATGAGTGTGGAAGCCAAATGATGGCTCGTCTAGAGTTGAGTCCATTATACTTGTACCCATCAGCAACTCTCATAATTTTCTATGTACAATCTTCTCGGGGCAAGAAACAGAATGAAGAACACCTATACGAATCATTTACACATATTCGATTTATAGCAAAATGAATGTGGCAACAAATGACACCAATCCATCACGGAATGTCATGCTTTGGACAACAGGAAATTCATCTACGAAATCGCAAAACTCATAAAAATCGAAAAACGAGTGGCATGTTTATTCAAGCTTTTTGGTGAAAAGTGCGGCCGGGTCGGATCCCGGTATGATAGGGGTCAGAGGGCGCCAAATTTGAATAACCGCGTTGCGTGTGCATGCGACAGCGATCTGTATGCGTGCGGTTGCGCACACGAGCGCGACAAGAGTCTAAACACTGCGCATTTTGATCCAAATATTGTACCATGGGCGATTTGCCAGCACTTCTATGAAACGTAAAATGAATCAATTCATGCAATGATATTATCTGAGTTAGGAAAGTTAAAGCTATCTGGCATGGCGTTCCTTACATTTCTAGAATTTCTCTCGTCTAGAAGAACATGCCTTAGAGTGAAGATTTTTGTAAATGAAAGCGCCTGAGTGGAACTCAAATATCTTGCACATATTCGGGATTTACGTAGGAGAATCCGTCGAACTCGGTCTGGTCGAGGTTCATGAGGAAGAGCCGATCGATAGGAGTGAGCTTTGGAACTTCATGTGTGAACTCCGAATCGAAGTTAGATACATCGTCGGGAGACTTCTGAAATGAATGGACATAAGAATATTTGCTCACCACAGAAAGAAAATTACTACTTTCTTCGGAGAGATCGTTTTAGATCTGACTAACTGAGCCGCAGATGACTCCTACCATCAGATACTGTACAGTCCTGGTGATTCCACTTAGCACTGTGTGCTTGCGGTGCCGACATTGGACAACTGTCGCGCGCGAACCGCTTGTAATGCCGGCCACTTGCGCGCAAACTGCCAATACTATCGACGTGGCTATTTGTTCACGCGCAAATTCGGTTGCCCAAACGCGGCACCGCAAGCACACTATATGGAGAAAAATCACCCGCCCGTACTATTGAGATAGTGCCAAAAAAGTCAAAAATTTTAGTCAGTCCAGGAAATGGGTAGACATGTAATGAGCTGGAATTTTTTTTTCTAATCTCATTCTCAAGTAATACTGATTTGTGTGCTACAAAATAATCTTGATTAGCAATTCTTTTAAGTTTGTAGGAATTTTCGCATTTCACTTGGTTGATAGAATCTCTGCACTTAAGTCTCCCTAAATTCAAAGAAAATTAACACATCAAGACAAGAGGTGTTTTCGTGGGCAAACCTTGGAAACTTCATTAAGGTTATTCTATGTTTCTTATTATTCAGCATACTTTCTCTATTCGTCAAACGATTTTCAAGATTGTAGGGCTACAGCACTTTTTCGCTAAAGATTATGACGATGACTTACGATTTTCGGCTTGAATGGAGGCTGCACTTGACGTGTTGAAATCTTGTACCAGTCAATTCGTCGGAAGAATGGATGCTCCTAATTAGATATTTATGTCAATTCTAAGAACATTAAAAAAAGCATCCATGTACCAATACTTGTCGTCAACAAAGAAATTTTAGTGTTCTTACCTTGATATCTGCTTCTGAAGCAGCGTCATTAGTTGAGCAGCCGAGTCGTTTTTGAGGATTTTTGACTAGGAGGGCTTTGCATATGGAAACTGCTTCTTTCGACATACTTTTTGGATAAGAGACGTTGTGCTCGGTAATGGCTAAAATAAATAGTAAAGACTTTCCCTTTGTCCCTCTGAGATTCAGAGAAATTCCTAAACAAAGGCAACACGGATATGTAATAACGCAAGCATTTTACTCCTTTTCTTGGCAATCAGGATGTCTTTCAAAAAAAAAGTTATGGAGGATGATTGATTGCAAGGTACAGATGTAGTGGGGTCGGGGATCGTGCAATCGTTCTTTTCTATGGCAATGCTGTAAATTATTGAAGGACCCTCCCTTATCTTTCAAAAATTGAAATTGACTCTCAAAGCATGATTTCATTTTTTTCAACAAGTGCTTATTTTCAATACTGCCTTTCTTACTTTCATGATGTCTTCTTCTATATTACAGCCTTTATCAAGTTAACTAACCCGTAAAAAGCTCGTCTTCGTCCTCGCCGTCAAAGGGTGGTTGCCCAGCTAGCATTTCGAATAGCAACACTCCATAAGCCCACCAATCAACTGATTTTCCATAAGGTTGGTAGAGAATTATCTAAGAAATTATTTTCTCTATGAATCAAATATCTGAAGGAATTATCTTACCTCTGGCGCAATATAGTCAGGTGTACCACAAAAAGTTTTTGTTGTCGCATTTCCAACTATATTTTCTTTACACATTCCGAAATCCGTAATCTTCAAGTAAATGTTTAGTAAGTCAAATTTTTACTTTTTCGATAATCCGTTTGGGTGAAGATAAAACAAGGATGCGTTCTGAGGGTTCTAGACTGTTTTGGATGACCTTCATGATGCGGTATTCTGTTCAGGACGCTGTCGCGCAAAAGACATTCTGCATCTCGTACTCTAATGAGAAACCGCGCCATTAGCAAAAACGGCTTCATTATTTGCGAGATTCTCTAATAATAGGTGATTTTTTTTCGTTTTCGAAGATAAAACTGAGTACTAACCTTGATATGGCCGTCCTTTTCCAACATAACATTATCTAGTTTGAGATCTCTGTAGATTACACCTTTGGAATGTAAGAAAAACAAGCCCACAGCAATTTCAGCTGCATAGAACCTAGAAATCGCTATTTGACTTCATTTTGAAAAGTGCGCAGAAAATAGTTGATAGTCGAAAACTCACACAGCCACAGGTTCCTTAAACTTGCCTATTTGTTGTATTTGATACATTAAGTCACCGCCATTTACAAATTCCATCACAAAGTATAGACGATCCTATAATGAGACGAGTGAAAGTGTGCAGATTAATGGGGAGTGCCGTGCGGTGCTGACAACTTTTGGGCGTGAAAAGTAAAAATGGGCTCAAAATTTTATATGTGCATTTGTGGCCAATTTTACGCGCAAATATTGTCTCCACCGCGGGATAAATGAAGAGAAAGCGATTTACCATTGTTTGGAAGCAACTGTGAAGTGACACGAGAAATGGTGGTTTCTCAGGTAATGCCAGTACCCGTTTTTCAGTCATTGTACATTCAATGTCATCGTCTTGTATGATAACGTCCTTCTTCAGCACCTTGATAGCAAAAAGCTCCTTGGTCTCTTTGTGTTCGCCAAGCAAAACCTAAAATTAGCGTGTTAGAGGAAATTACGTTGTCTACACTTGATTCAACACTGAAGCTCTTGTTTGTCGTGGGATGGAGCGAAAAAAGCGGGAAAGTTTGGGAAGGACCGGAAAGGGAGGGGGTAGAGGAGAGAAGAAGAAAGCTCTTTTGAAAACATGGTTCAATTTAGAGATTCGGAAATTTCCACAAAGAAAAACGTTTTCCGTCTCTCCCCTCCCCTCCTCAAGCAAACAGATTTTTGCTTGCAGCATTTGGAAGCATGACTATCAGTCATATTTGACCATATTCGCAAATACTTGCAAAAATAGAAAAATAACACATAAGCTATTGGAATTTGGAATACATGAAAGTGTCAATCTGTTCCTCCTCCCCTATCCTCCGCCATCTCCTATAGATCTGACTAAAAAGGTAACTTTTCAGCAAGTGTACCACTTTTAGATGATTGTGCTGATACTTAATTGAGAATCCATTCATGATTGGAGAATTTTCGTTGGGATTTTCACGAGAAAATATGAATGCCTGCTTATGCTGAGAGCCGGATTATATGTGACATGACCATGCAAAAAAATTAGAGTAGAAATATTTGCTCATTTCTTACTTGTTGAACGACCTAAGTATTGTTTAAAGACAATCGAAGAGCACCAAAAAAGGCAAATTCTCGAAACTCTGAATTAACTGAATCGTGTATATCGAAATCAAGAGGTTTGAAAACAATTCCAATGTTTCCTCTGATATCTCACCTTCCCAAATGATCCCTTGCCTAGGACTTTCAAGAAGGTGAAGTCTGATTCCTTGACGAGTTGGCTTTGTGCTGAAGCACTCAGCCGCGAAATATCCGAACTTGGTCTACTCAGAGTGCCGTGCACCTCCATTTTTCGACGTATTTTCTCCATTTCTTCCTCGTACTCTGGTGGGATGTTTATGTTGTAGTATTCGCCTTCTTCCTGGAATAAGGATTTGCGGGTGAATGAATAATCTGAAAGTTTTCCAGGTTTGAGGAATGTCCAAGGGAGAAAATGTTCAACAATGAAACAAAGATATTCTCCTGTTCCAATTCAACTTTCATCACCTAGTTTGTAGATCTTCAGGCCACTTAGAACAACCGTTCGAATTCTGATAAATTATTGGATATTTACCGCATTGAGCAGTTTGAACCAGCCAGATGCTGGTTCGAGAAGAAGTTCAGAAATTCCGAACGATAAGCTTCCCATAAAGTCATTCCTCGACGTTCTATCCCAATCCCATACTTCGACAGATAACCGCCTGTCCTTGTCTCCAGGTTGAAGCTTACTAAAAGAAGAAATTTCAAAACTAAGAAATTTTACCGCTTACTGAGATCTTGATCAGCGTGATCTACATAAGCTAGCTTTGGATTACTGCAGCCTAAATTTGTTATTGTGAATCTTACTAGGTGAATTTCTCATTCCATTGCGGGTTCAGCGTAGCCCGTAGCGTCTTTGTTTTTTGCTTCGATTTACAACCACCATCTTCAGGAATTAATTTGAGCTTCACATAAGGGTCGGATAAACCATTGGGATCCATTGGGATTAGATTACGAGCCTCTTTCACTGTAACAAAAAACATTCGATAATTTTGTCTTACATCACGACTATTTTTAAATGTTACCATGAATCTTGAGAATTTCTCTTTCTACGCTGACATCAAGTAGTATTCGACCCCGTTTTTCAGTGTGGTCCGTTCCACACATGTTTGGCACGTAACGTACACAACGATGATGTGCATTTGTACCACAAATATTGCATTTCATTCCCTAAACATTATAGTTTCACAATTGAACATTTGAGACCGGTAACTGATATAACCTGATGAATAATTCCGTAAAGTAAAGACCCGCAGTGATCGCAGAAGGTAGGCGAAGAATATGTTTGCACTTTCCACTTGTGCTGTTGGCGCGGGTCCTGAAACATAGAGAGTACTGTAGGATACATATAGACTATCAGATAGACGTTTGATATAGTGGTGCAGACAGCATTTGCGCGGAAATGAATTACAGTCTTTGGTGCTTGGTGATCATCGACATCGCCAGCGCGTTAGAAATGGCGACAGAGCAGAAAACTTCAAAATCTGTTTAAGCCATTATTTACGCGCAAATGTTGTCAACGGCGCAGAAACACTATATTGGCCGCCGTGTCTGCTAACAACAGAATTACTAGCAGTCAAACTCACATCCGTATCTACACCCTTGTCAGCGCCTGGGCAGGCAAAATTCACAAATTCATGGCATCGTTTGTGGACAACCAATGTGCAGACTAAAAAAGTTGACTCGAGGCTTTGGCCCATCTTAAGCTCAGCTTTGCTTGGAAAGATTTTCACAATTTCTTACTTTGACACTGGAACCCTTGTTTATTTAGGCCCCATAAGAAATCTTTGCAATGGGAGCAGAATGTCGGCTGCTTAAAAAATCGAGCTATAAATTTGTGAGATCTGAAAGAAAAGCTTTATATGACTTTCGAAGACGTAACTTTCAAAGCTTACTTGATTTCGTGGATATTCTTCTGCCGCAAGGCTCCTTGCCTTACGAAAGCTTTACCTTCGATACGTTGAGCTGTAAAAGGTTATATTCATGCTCACTTGTTTCTCAAATATGTTCAATGGAATGAAAATTTTGTCAAACCAAGATGGCCAGTTAGAAAATGGTCATTGTTGCTGGCGAGGTAACTCATTGTCTTAGTCCCAAGGAAGAAAAAACATCCGCTAGTGATTAATCTCAAGCCCAACCTTATTGTGATGGCATAGTACATAAATAGTGCAAGGTGAGGCATTATGCATAATATTCGCAGGTAACAAAGAACGTTAGTACATGAATTGATTTAATGAGTTCTTGAATACCAAAAGATGTTGAAGCTAGCTGAAACTATTAGGTTGGCACGAAAGTTCTGTCGCACCAATTTCAAAAATTCATAACTTCGGATTTTACTAACCGATTTTACTGCTTTTATTATTATATGAAAGAGTTAATCATGCTCTTTAGAAAGGCATTTTAGCTGCTTGCTAATGATCATCTGTTGCAATAGATAGAGCGGTAGAAGAAAGTTAGTCAGAAATTCGAATTTTCTGTGTAGGGTCATAAAAAATCGGAAACTTGCAAGAAAAATCGGAGCAGTCAGTATTGTAGGTTCTTTTACCAGCTCTTTCTAAGGTGCAAAATCTGCGCTGATTGGACGTCTCTATAAAAAGTTATGATTTCCCTGAAAAATGCCAAAATTAATCAAATTCGCCCTTTTGTATTGGTTGCTCGAAAATCATAGCTTTTCATAGAGACGCTCAATCGGTGCAAACTCTGCACCATTAGAAAGAGCTGGTAAAAGAACCTATAATACTGACTGCTCCGATTTTTGTTGCAAGTCTCCGATTTTTTATGACCTTACACAGAAAATTCGAATTTTGACTAATTTTCTTCTATCGCTCCTATCTATGCAATAGATGAGCATTAGTAAGCAGCTAAGATGTCATAATAAAAAGCATGACTTATCCTTCTATATAAAAATAAAAACAATAAATCGGTTGGAAAAATCAGAAGTTATGAATTTTTGAAAATGGTGCGACAGAACTTTGGTGCCAACCTAATATCTAGTACCCCAAGAAAAAAAACTCTATGCCGTCGTTTGTAGAAGAGCAGGCGTTTGCTGGCCCATAGGTTGGCTGGCTTTTGGCGTTTTTTGCAAGGAATACTGTAGCTTTGCCCGTTAAATTGGATGTGCTGCACTAAGAAGTAAAGGAGCCGTATTTTGCCTTTCCCAACTTCAAAAAACTAAAAAAGTGAAGAAGAAACACGGTGTAGGCATGTGAACTGCCTTAGATGGTGGAATCCATGACATTTTTCGAACAAAAGAGAATTAAGCGAAAGAATTACCAAAAGCTTCAGAGAGCTTCCGAAGGGCGAGATTCGATTCAATAACGGGATCACCGATGAGATCTAAACTTCCACCACGTTCTTGTTTCTCCGTGGGACCAGTAGCATGTTCGCCATCTTCCGATACACGTCTGCCGGTTTCTGCCATTTCCAATTTTTTGCTGAAATAAGTTTTGTATGATGCGAGCATTCGTTGCTTTTTAAGAGTTCTGTTTGGGCGGACGTGAATGCACAACTTGTTGTTTCCTGGCATATGATAATCCAGAAGAAACACCGTAAGAATGCCTTAGGTTAAAAGTAAGTTCATGACTCCATCTCAAATAAGGTTGGAACTAACGGGGATAAAGAAAGAGTGGGATGGGGAAGGGATGGGGAAGGGGGGGGGAGTGCGAAAAAACTCTTTTGCATCGTATATTTTTGCGTGTGTAAGCGTTGTGCCGTTATTCATTACCGTAACTCACAGGTTATGAGTTCCTACTACCGCTACTACAGTAATCCGAGGGGAATGCAGGTATTACGGTAACACTAAGACGTCCATGAAATAATTCAGATATTGATTTTATGACCAATTTACGTCCGAGTTGCTATGATCTTTGACTTTTGTGATAGATGATGGACCGTTATATAATGATCATGACAAGTCCTCGATTTTTGAGCTGAAGGGATGACAGCTGCAGGTCAGATTTTCACAAGATGTTTGGTTTTAAAGAATTGTTTTTAGTGAAGGTGATAAGCTACTATAAACTAAACTTAATATAAGAAACTAACTTTGAATTTTGAGACCGAGGACCATGATGCCAGAATGGGACCGAAAGCCGCATGGCGCTGGTACAGGTGTAATCCGCAAGTAAGCGCCCGATGCCCAAGTACTAGGGGACCCGGTAGACGGAGTGCAAGCACTTCCATTCAGACCTCTCATGCATACTAACAAATGTGCATACAAGTGCTTGGAATAGACAAAGTAAGTATTCAGTCCATTATCCTATCCATTCGTGATTTCATAGTGCTAGAGCATTTTTTTTCGACTTGAAACGGTTTGAAATTAGAAAAATTATGGCCGAGAGAAGATTGTTAATTTTAAGATTTAAATATAAAGTACGAAAAATGGATGTGCATAACATGTTTGATTAGCAGAACAAAGACTCTGGGACTGGGATTATTAGTAAGGATCGAATTATTACAGACACGAGTCGATTATCAAATTCCTAGCTTTCAACTTAATACTAAACTTTTTTCGCTTTTGTAAAATCCCTTTTGCTAATTTAACATCAAATTCTTTAGCAAATTTGAACTTACTGCCAGATGAGGTCTACGATAAACCACCACATTAGAACTAGAGATACTTCTACAATACTTGGATCATTTGGTGCAATCTATTGTTTGAGACTGCTTTGTTTATAATTCAGTCTCTTGAAAACAGCAGCAAGGCAAAATACTGGCAGAAATGTGAATCGCTGCAAGTCTTCTCCTAATCACATTTGATTTTCTTCCGAAATGCTTTTTCAAACCTTTTTTGTGAACTCTTTGTCTGGGCATGAATTCTTTCAGGATCTTTGAGCCTGCAAGCGCAAGGTGTCAACGAAATTTTTCGAACAAATCAAATTTGACGGAGCACATCCTGCGAAGATAAGCACTGTTCCAGTAAGAAGTAATCGTATGTAGGGTGGAATGGGAGCAGGGGGGAGGGGGAGGGGGGGGGGGGGAGCAAGAAGAAAGGATGTGCAAGATTATGGACATCATAAAACCAAGGAGTAGGTACAGGCCAGAAGATTAGACTGCTTTTTTAGTGCACCTGCAGTGTACACATCATTTGCGGGTAAGTTGTTAGTCGTGGGACATACAATCTAAAAATTCGCGCTCTGTGGTTATTTTACCCACGCAAACTGTCGGTATACGGCATGGAAAGTCGACGCGCAGTTGCTGTCGGCACCTCAGGTACATGATGTACGACAAATCTGCTAGATACAGTGAATCTGTAAAATTTGAAGGAATGCAAAGTCTTCAATTTTAGCTGAACGAAAAGGACACCGAATTTCTTCCCCGTTCTCGGAAAAAGTCTGATTGCGAAAGAAAAATTACACTGTAGCATGACATTCATTCATCTTCTTCAAAAAGAAAATCTTTCTCAAGGGAATTTTCTAGTAATCAACAGGATGCTGCTGTGATGCCAACGCACTTTAAACAAGAGCTTGCCATATCGCCTACACATCTTTGGAATTGGTTGAATTCGTACAGCTGAAAGATGGAAAATCGGAAAATATTAGCCGATATTGTATTGCAATATTTATAAGGTTGTATCATAAATTCACCATTAAGTGCAGCATCCCACACAACTCCGCAGCCGCTTTGACATTTTTGAGTGAAAGGTAGACAAGTTGAATATTTAACTTGTATTTCATGATATGGCAAAAACTATCTGGAAGTCAGAAGTTTGTAAAATGATGCTATATTAATAATTCCATGTTTTTACAACCCTCTTGAAGTTGGAAAGGTTACCTTAGAAAAAATTTGCGGTGCAGAAAAGACATTAGAAATAGCTTATCCATTAATATTTTCAAATGAATTCTCGTCCATTTTCTGATGCTTACCAAGGCTTCTGAATTATTCCTGATACTGATCTATGGTGTGAATCACAGGGAAAAATTTTGAAATACACATTACATATTTCAAACTCGAATTATAGACTCACAACGCTCACCAGGAGAATTTTTTGTTTAAAGATGAGGAAAATGCACCCATACACTTGAACTCGATTAGTGTCCCGGCACTAATAAACTGCAAAAATTGAAAGTGTTTTGTGTTGCGGTAAGAGGTTAAAAGATTCTATTTTCAGGTAAAAGTTTAAAAATAAGTGAATCGGTATTCGAGCTCAACTGAAGCCATAACATGTCGGATTACACAAAGATTGAATTTCAAGAAATGAGGCACCTGCTGCAGATAAATTTTTCTTGAAATCCTTAGTAAATGGTCTATATTGAATCATCTTCCTACTCCAGGCTAGAAGAAGGAGGAACAGGAGGCAATGATTGAGAAAAAATTTCATTAATGAGTTTCTATCCCACGCACTCGACGTGGACTTGTCATTCTTTTCAGGCGCCATCAACTGCGAACAGGTGAAATCTTAGTCTGTACCTTGTCTGCACTTCGTTGTTCTTATGATTGACAACTGAGAATTCATGTTCGAGATTCGGCTAAAGGTTACCACAAAACTTTCAAAAATTCTGCGCCGATGTGCAATTGGCCATGGGGAGCGGGGAGGGGGTCCGTACTTGTCCTCGACACAATCGGAATATTCAAAGCGACGAAGCGCATGAGAGTACGACATATTCAATAGAATCACATGTGAGGATGTTCAAATCACCTGCGAAGCGGTACAAATGCCCTTTCAACTCGAATTTACTAGTACGAGAAAAACGGCATGTTAAAATTCTGAAAAAGTCTAATTTAGATGCAAAGTGACTTGACTATGCCCCGACTCCAATCAGCAAAATATTTTCCTCTACTCTGAGTTCTTTTCAAAATCCAAAAATAGTAACCGAAACCAAAAACTTGGGTTGATGGATATCTTTCACAAAGGTGTTCAATAACAAGGTTCTGAACTATAATTTAGAGGATCAAATAGATTTGCTTTTATATAAAATCACCACCCACTGTACTGCTCCTCCCAACAGGAACAGAGATCTATTTTCTCCCATTTTGAATTTTTTACAAATCCAATATAATAACACCGCAAAAGTCTCTTAAACGTACTTATGACATCAAATTTCGCTACTTTTCCGTTATCCGGACCCATTTCCTTAAAAAAGGATACTGCTTATATCCTTGTACCATATTTTGTTCCAGCTTCATAGAAAGGAGTGTCCTTCTACCACTTGTGAAAAAAATTTGACATGTCATCTACATGTTTAACAGGCTTTACCAAGAGTTGTGCTACCATACCTGGCAATGTAAGTTTAATCTGTTTTTTTAGTTAATTTTAACCTGATTTCGGACCAATCAATCTCAAAATGAACATTGTCATAATAATTACGACATAGTGTTCTCGATGAACACATTGGAACTACTCAGAATAGAGAAGCACTAGGATCCCGTCATTTAAGAGGCGAAATACAAGCAGCAGCAAGGTACTTCAAACTATCACTCATAGTCTTTTCGGCTAAATTCGCATGGCGGAAAGGGTTGAAGAAAAGTACATTTTTGAATCACTACTGAAAGTAAGCAAGACCTTCTAGAGTAAGTTCATAATTGTTTTCTGCGAGTAAAACAGTTAAATAGTTTCAAAGTGATCACAAATTCTCTTTTATCTCACCAGAAATGATTTCAAAAAACTTGTCGAAATGGACCAAAACGTGTCAATTTTTTCGTGAAACGTGGCAAGGAGGCAGTCCGCGTAGAATCTATGAAAAATTGTTTTTAGAGTAAAGAATGTATAATATAAGAGCCTTTTGAAAAAATGGGTCCGGATAACGGAAAAGTACCTAAATTTCATATGAAGGTGCAGTAATGTATGTATACTATCGAGTTATTCACTAAAAAGTTCTAAGCTCAGTACAATCGAAAAAATTCGAAATTTAGAAACTTCTTCCAAAATTTTGGCATGCATTGCTTACCGTAATGCAATATATAAGCACCAATGAAGTTGATTTGCTAGATCTGGTACAGATGTGAGTTATCGGTTTTCACTAATTTTAACATCATGCGAGTCATGGGGGCTGCAAAAAATCTTCCTAAAAAAATTTTCCATGAAAGTCGCACTATTCAATTTCCTCAAAAAATCTCAAAACTTACAAAAATTGGTGGCAAAGCAAGAATTAACACTGACCTTAAAAAAAGATTATCAAGCTACAAACGCGACTGATCCTTAATTTTTTTTTGAAATTTTCCACACATGCCTTCGATTCAAAACATGACCTAGGATTAACGCCTACCCGTGAAATATGATCTGGTTTGACCTAATTCGAACTTACTATTATAGCATCCAAGTTTAATAAAAGTTGTTCTTATTTATTGGCACTTTATTAGCAGTTTTTTTTTACTTTCCTCAGGTGCAAAAGACTTGTCTTTTATCTAAACGACTGCAAGCAAAGAGAAGAGAATACTTTATAGCAATCGGATAAGCTAGATGTCTTTTTTAGACTCAACTATGTGGAAAATCTCGTTTAGATAAAGCAGTGGAGGAATGCCTTAAGCTAGCAATTATAACGCGAATGGTTGTAATTATTAGCGTTGTTTTATGCATAAGGCTGAGTAGATAACGTGCTCGAATCACATTACTCTGCACATCTTTTCATTTCGCTTGCAAAAGAAATGAGTGCGCTTTGAGGCATGCATAGGGACAGCGAAAGCTAATTAAAACTTTATCATCTTTGCTTCACAAAAAGTTGAAGGCTAAAAAAAAGTCAGGAACTTTTCTTTGTTCTGCGCTAGACGAAGTCCGCAAAGGGTCCTTCGTTCAAGTTCACTACATTGTCAAGAGATTTGACTGGCAATAATAGTTCAAGTTCGGCAAACGACTACGAATTTCCAGATAAGTGTAGCACTTAAGTACATTTGAAAGCACCAAAATCTGATTGGTATAACAAGATTTGTGGTCAGCTTACTATTGTTGTATCAAGGCAATCCACGGAGGAAAATTTTCAGTTGAAGCTCATAAACTTTCCAAGCTTACAAGTGTGTGCGTTTGAATTGTTTACTTACTAATTTTTTGGATGTTTGCTTGTTCAGGTTATTGAGAGTAGCTGTCCAAGTCGATCGTAGTTGAAAAAGCACTAGTAGCACTGTCTTCTATCGTATCAAAAGCACTTTCCAGAAAGCGCGCAACAAATTTTAGCAGAATTTCCAAGTTTAGATTCTGTGAGATCACCAGAACTATTACTTTCAGGCAAATGCTATTTCAGACTTCAGTTGCATGCTGGGTTAATCAAAATAATTTCTCCCTCTCAAGGTTCTCCGGTTTTTTAAAACTTTTTCTAAGGAAGAAAGGGCCACAAGATCTGGTTGTCTGTTGTTAGCTATTGTTGGTATGATTAAATTACTTGTTTGCTTGAAGAGTTGGATGAAATAGTACAAACGATATGAATCTTCAATAAAGAGAAAAACTTATGGAACAAAGTAGAAATGACCAAGTTTTCAATAAAAAAAAAATTTTGCGTAATTTTTGCTCCTTGTTAAGAAGACTTTACCGTTTCCAAAATTGTTCCAAAGAATCATATAACTAGACTTATTGGATTATCCTGTTTATGATGCTAATAGAAAGAAGAACCGTAAATTTGTCTCGTAACCCACTAGCTACAGTATACGCACTATAAGGCGGAGGTTTGATGTTTGAAAGGGAAAGGGTTACTCAACCATAATCGACGGTAGAGTGGAAAGGTTGCTCTTTGTGAAATTTTTTTTGAAAAAAAATTTGTGACTTGCAAAAAACTTTGTAATTAGATAAAAATATATCATCATGAAATGAAAAAAGCTTGGGATTTTGATATTTCAGTGCTACATATCGAAAAGATGGAAAAGGATGGAATGCCAGCTACTCAAATAAATCCATCTTTCCTACATTGCGTGCATGGTTTTCCATTGAAAGCTACACATTGTGATTTGGCACGAAATAATTTGCCTCTGCAGCCAGTACTTAATAAGGGAGAAATTAATATGTAGGGAAATATGTAACTTATGTGTATGTGAGAACATCCTGGTGTTTTTGGGATGAAATTTACAGGGATTCATGGTCATCCTAAGTAATCGTAATGTTTTGCATAGCATCACATTTCAACGAGAAGCATGATGCAGCGTCAGCTTTTTTTTGGGAACGAGTAAAGACAAGAGTGTTTTGAGAGTTCTAAGATGACATTCTTTTTTTTTGTAAGTATTTCGGTAGGGTTGTAGATGAGAGATTAGGTTGGATAGCAGATGAAATGGCGGCCACTCGCCGGCGTGCCCAAATAGGCTTGCCCAGTGCCGAATTGAATTTGCAGCAAGAGTCGAGTAATCAAAACCTTTTACGCGTGCTTTGCCTCCTCCTATTCTATACGAAGAACTCACCTAGGGACACTGCTTGAAGCAGCGCTGAAGATGTGCAAAAAATGTCTGGCAAAAGGAGCGAAAATCTGTGAAGTTGTAGGAAAAAATTCCGTAAAATTGCGTTATCCTGAGAAGGGGAAATAACTGGCCCTCATTTCTGCTGAAGGCGTCAAACCTCCACTTATCCTTTTCGCTAGCTCTTACTTTCTAAGCAGTGAGCTCGCGTAGTGTGTGCAAATGCATATCCTACCCATTATTGGGCGTAAAATCTCGGTCTCGGTGGCCGTTTTGATTACATACTATGGGACCTTCACAAAATGTTCCTTCCACTGCTTCGAGAACAAAAACTTAGGAAAGGACGATAGAAAAGCCATCGCTCACGAGAGATGCGCCCTTGAAGCAAGACGCAGTACTTTACGCGCAATGTAGATGGCTAGTGCCTTTGCACAATTAAAGAACGAGATAATTCTTGCATTCTTTCTTCCCGCAGGAGGGTACGGTAACGCGCGCATTTTGATCTACGGCGGTCGAATGTGAACGCAATCATAATTTCAAAAGCAGCTGAGAGATTTAGAGTCATCGTAAACTATGTACAAACGATTTTGAATCTTGGGAAAAGTCGATTTGCGTCAGACTTTTCCGTCGCGACAGTTTAACTGCGCAGAAGTCACACAATAATAAGATTAACATTATCTGCTGTTTAGCCATTTGATTAAAGTTCAAAATAACTTCCGTGTTCACTTTTTATACTCACATTTAATTCAATTACTTACCAAAGATCATCCAGTTTGACAAATTTTGAATCGGTCAACCATGCATAAAAATTTCTAGAATAACTATTGCCTTTTGCATGAATGAAAAATTATCTTGTAGTGCAATTCGCTTTACGATGCCACTAAAATTCCATTGTTACTGAGTATTGGCAATGATTGCCCTAGTAAGAAGTTTTTCTGCTTGAAAACATTGGAAACCATTATCAATGTAAGGAAAACTCAGTTTGAGAAATCGACGATAGATAGTTATAGTTTTCGTTGCATGACTTGAAGTATTGCTCAACTTGAAGTGATGTTTCGTCTAGAATTATTCATCTATCACCACCCACCTAAGCATAAAAACTCGGGCTATATCTTTCAGAAAATGAATGTGATTCGTGTACATCGAATATATTCTTCTTGAAAAACGGATCCGATTTTGCTCAATGTGTAATGGAAGCATTTTTCTGCGCATACGGCAGCTTTCAACTTTTTTCGTTCCAAGTCTGTAGACAAAAATTTCATGCAAATTAAGGAAAGGAGATAGTCAAAAGTTGCTAACAAGTAATTTCTATAAGACAAATAGTTCAAACTATGAATTTTTCAAGCATTTTGGAGGAGATAAAATGCGATGCTAAGTCATCCATTCTACATTGGAACATCACATAGGCTCGATTTTCCCTGAGGCAAAGCGAGAAAAAAAACTCATCAAAAGACAATTTCCTCCTTCATGCTGAGGCATAGTTGCAATATTGAGGATTTGGAATTTTTTGATGAGCACGGGTTGCGGTATTTTGCGCAGTGTATACTGTATTGAGGGAAGATTACCCAAACATTTAGAGTACTGCCAAAAATTCTTATTTTTACGAGAAATGCAGATACCCTAGTTGATAAAATTATCGTTTAGAGGATTCGAATTCAAATGACTCACAGGGCATGAACTTAATTTCAACGTATTTCTTTCAAACACTTTTCTAACAGTTTCAAAAGTACTGCTCTTCACGATAATCTAGGGCTCTAATCAAATTTACATCTTTCTATGATAAATGATTATTTCACATTTTGGCAAAAGTCCAAATTGTGAAACCTCGTGAGGCAAAAACATTTGCTTCTAACCGTAGGATGGTTGAATGTCATTATATGCATAGTTATCAGGGCTTGTTATGACCGAAGATCCTGGAAGAAAATTGGATTTGAATCCTTTAGGTGGGGCGGTATCCAACGCAATCAGTTACAAAAGACAGTGAAAGCGGTGGGGAGCGCGCCGCGTACGCAGGGCACGCGCACGCATGCAATGGCGCGGAATTCTCCAAATGGGTCCCACTGATCTTTCACTTATCTAAAAATGCCCAACACGCCCTACACATGGAAAATTCAAAATGAACACTTGCAGGAAGTGTAAGTTCAAGTGGTTTTGCTTGATTTCGTTTCTATTCCGATGGCGCACGAAATTTTGACCGACTGCTTGCACTTTTAAGGGTTGCGTAGGCGAAAACGCAGAGCCACGGCGGATTGTTGACGAGAAAGGGATGGAATGCAGTTGAAAATGGAGATTTTGCTTTGGGCTATGAAGAAACTCATCAAAGCGAAGGGAGAGGAAGTAATGGCAAATTCGAGCGGTATTTTTGAGATCTCCGAGTTATGCAAAGATCTTTGGGAAGATGGTGAACTATCGAGAAGACCTCGTATTCAGTAGCCAGCCTCGGCACGAGCTGGCACCAGGGGAAGTTCAACAAAGTTCCCTTTGATTTTGAAAATCTCGTACAAAGTCCCCTTTGACCCCAAAACCCTAAACGTAAAAATCCCCTAAGAAACGAAAAGTCGACTAGAAGAAACTAAAAAAGAATAGCGATGGTCCTCCCAGTCCCAAAGCCTAAGCTAGAGCATTCTAGGTTTGAGAAAATAATTTTGAAAAAACTTACTTTATCCTGTTATTTTGGAAGGCTGTAACCCGAACGCAGCTGAGAAATGTTCATTCTTCGTACAACATGTGTTCTTCGAGCAACCCTGTAATGAGAAACACCTCGGAGCCTGTTAATTATCAAATCAAAACGAAATGGGAGCTTAGAAATCGAATACGAAGTCAGAAGATGAGATTGGAATGCAAATTACTAAGCTTGAAAGAACTCAAATAAGTTTTGCAATTTTCGCTGGACATGAGGAGCTACTTGTTTGTTAAAGATGGACTTTTTGTCACAACCTCAAGAATTTTTTTGCGATTTTTATTGGCCATGAAGCAATAAAAGTTCTTTATTGTATCTGATTGATCTGAGAAAAGAATTGAAACTATGGGAAATGTTTCTGAAGTGAGCGCCGATATGTTTTACGTGATTTAGTCGTAAAAAATGCTATATTGATAATTCGCGATTTGTCAGGGTGCCAAATTTCAGCGGTTTTTCAGTAGATCGAAGTGAGATATTAGGTTGAACCAATGTTTCTTGTTATGCTCGACAAATCAGATTTGAGCACACTTCCGACGTATTTGATCACTCAGCAAAAAATGGAAATAGATTCAAGAACAGAAAGTAATAAACAGCTTGATTATGGTGACGATATTTCACTTCATAAATTCCTGTGGAGAAATGATGGGGTTTGCTTCTGATGGATATCATCAGAATGTTAAGGTAGTTTGCATTGTTAGGCTTTTATGATATCATATTGAATATAACGAGAAAGAAAAAAAATTGTGTGAAATTATTATATAGAGGATAGTTGATTATGCATTGGTATTTATTTTGTACTTTCAATGTTTGTTATTATTATAATTACTATATAGAATTATAATTTTTTAAATTGCAGGAAATTCAGTGCAAACACCTTCAGATTTCTACTAATGTGCTATTTATCATATTAGTGTCGATATCAAAATATTCATTAATATGGATACTGTTAATCTCTTATAGTATACTTAGTACCATCATCAACATTTCCACTATCACTCTTATTTTATTTATTTTTCTACCCTATGCAGTTTTACTATTAACATCAACATTACTAAATATTATCACCATTGTTATTATTTGCATCGCTGGAAGAAAAAGGCACCATAAATATTAGAAGCTTCTTCTCACATAGTGCATTCTGCGCATGCAAAGCTCAGTGCATAACTTTGAGATTGATATATAGACCATCGCATGTAAATATTTGCACACTGGCCATAGTACAACCAATTTAGTACATGTGAACCATAAGGGAATAGAGACTCCATAATACTAGCACCCAAATAACGTCGAAACTTAGCGCAAAGTTAAGGAATAAAGAGAAACTGCATTGAATGGTAGGAATATAGCGGTATTTCTTCCTAACAAAGGTTAGTATGTAGGTTTTGCAACTAACGTTAACCCCTTTATCTTTTCCTATGTAGCGCCCTCTTCTTTTTGATATAATGTAGGTGAGGTATCGAACTAAATATTGTGCTGAACCTTTTGATTTTTGGTGATCAAGTGGGAAAAATTTGAGCATTTTTTGAAAACTGGTCAAATCAAAAATTTCACTCTGCTGAAAACAGAAATGAAGCTACATGTATTGGCAGCGTTCATCAAAAGTATCAAAACAAAGCTGTACATAAATAAGTACTGGATAAAACTCTAATAGTTTTTGTGTAGTCTGGGCTTGATTCGTTCAACGCAGGCTTCATTTTTGTTTTAGGCCAGTGAAATTTTTTTTTATTTGACCTGTTCTCGAAAAATGCGTAGTTTTTCCCAATTCGCCAACAAAAAACAAACGGTTTGTACATACAGGATGTCCCAAAAAAAATGTTTCGAGCGTTTGATCGTTAATATCTCTCTTCCCAAGAAGTCTTTTGCCTTGCTTCAGGTACCGTTTTGTAGAGCTGGCTTCAACTTAGATTTGCATTATAAAACGAATCACCCATCTCTCTTCATTACTGTAGGATTACGGTAGAAACTTCAAAGAGGGTTTTGAGCCATGTGTGCCTTTACTTCCTAGAGGGTTCCCAAAACTAATTCTACAAACACACCAGATAATCAATGAGTCTAATTTACTCCTTTTATTTTTTCTGAATTTAGCCAATTTCCAAAAACTTCGTTCCATACTATTGAGTCAGCTTCTAATCGGTAGAAAGGGCAAAGCTTTTACAATTTAAGTAATGCTTTTTAGCACCTAATAGTTTACCAGTTTTTTGATTTGTTTTTTTTGAAGTAGTCAATTTTGCAAGAGGTACGTAATTCTAGTTCCCCGAATACTTCTTCATTTTAGATATTTTCAAGACGCGATTATAACAATTTTGTCTTTAGTTAGCAAGTGAGCAATTATCGCTCATACACATCAAGCTTTCTGAAATTTTTGGTACCCACTGATTTTCAAAATTTAGCTAGAACTAGGTAAGATAGAAAGGATGGAAATTATCGGAAATTATATAATCATTAAAAGTGTAGCTTGCAGAATAAGCAAAAACTTCTGCATTGATGTTATCCTATCTTTATTCCAAGTGATTTGAGGATTAGCTCAAAAAAACGGTGCGAACTTTAGGACCGATCTAATACAAAGAATTTGATCATTGAATAAAGGGCACATTATTGACGCAGCAAAAATAGAAGCCACAGAGAAATGTGAGAAAGAAGCAAATAGACTTTGCTTCTTAGAATATGAACTTGTGTACTTTGAAAAGCCTATGAAGCTCTAGTGCAAGAGCACATGTGATGCATGAGTGTATTTTTGTGAAGAAAAACATTCTCCGCCGATACATCATCGATGATTCAGTGCTGAAGAAGAGAGAAAGTGAAGCAGCTAGAGCCGAGTAGACAGAAAACAGAGTTGATCTGCAATTGCAGAAAATACCAGGTTATGTGTGCTTCATAGCTTATACCTCTAGTTGCCAGCAGAGCAGAAGGAAAAGTTGTGAAACGATAATTTTATAGCAAGCAGTCGTATAAAATCTGCACTCCATAAATGTTATGCAGAATCAATAAATATGATAAAAGTTCAGTTTCAAAGCCATAACTACAAACTGATTCGTATAAATGTCTTTTAGTACATAGGTCCTTCAGATGATTAGTCTTGCAACTACGAACAAAATGCTGTGTGTATTGTTTTGGACGAGCAAAGAAAGAAAAGCTATTTTGAATACTACTTGAAGCCAAAAAACTTTTACAGATCTTTCAAACTGTTATGAATTGACCTCTTGCAGAAAAGTTTGAATATGGTGAATGAATACTAATTAAATTTGCGAAGAAATCCAGAAGATTTTGCAAACGGGACGTTTGTTATGGCAAAAGTCTCATCTTACCCCAAGAGGCGGTAAATTGTAAGAACTAGCGAATATATCCCATAATAAGATCTCTATGCTTTCTCTGAAAATTTGGTTTTCATGAAGAGTATTTGAGATGAAATATGATGTATTCAACTTAACAGTCGAAAAGCTTTTTGGTAAGTCAGTTGTAAAAATATGCGTCACTATGACGGGCAATAAATTATATGCATGAGTGAACATTTCGAAACGCCTTTACTCAGAAAATCTATAAAAAGTTGCCCCGAAGGAAGGAAGAGCAGGGGATAAGAAAATTGACTTTATAAGGCACAGTACCAAACTAAACTAGAGACAGTAATTAATGACTAACTTAGTGTTCTCGTAGCAGAAGTAACAATTCCGCATAAAATGGCCATAGAGCACACGATCTCAATCTCTGCGCTACATAGCTATTTTCACGCGCAAGTGCTGCCGGGACCGCACGGGAACTATGTTGAAAATAAAGCCCACTACATAGTATATGATTCTTGTACTTTCGGAGGGTAGGGGAAACAGTTGTAGAACTCACCAGAACAATGAACAAGGCTCAGAAACTTTCGCAGTTTCAGGAAAGAACAGCATAAATAGAGAGCAATCAAGCTCCACCATCAAGGAAATTTGATAAATTCAGCTTAGGTAAAACATACGCAAGAAAATAGCTCTATATCTCTCTAAGAGTCTTATATTCAGCGAATTATGGAAGCAATGAAGATGATGAAACAAACAAGAGTTATATAACGAATGGAATGGAATGGGAGTGCTTTTTTTGGAAATGTCCTCTCTTATCAGATTTTAGAAAAATCAGTGGGGTTTCTTACGTAAGCAGGTCACATTTTAGATCACTAGCTCAGAGCTTATCTCTCACTGCTCGCAAGAATATAATCAAAATATATAGGAGGTGGAAAGAGGGAGAGAAAAAAATCATACGTGCATAGAGTCTGGAGCCTGAAGATCTATTATTCTGTTGTGCGGCTCTTAATCACCCCTACTTCCAAAAACAAAAGATGGATGACAGATGTAATAATATAATAACCATGGCTGATAGTTTAACTACATGACAAATGTTATAAGACAGAGCTGACTTGGTTATTTTCTACAAGAACTCAAATATGAGTTAGTACGACTGACATTTTAAATAATAGGCGTGAAAGGGCAATCGAACCTTTATAATAACAAAGGGAGTACCTTCTTTCGGATTAAAGGATTCTAAAAATGCCTTTTAGTTGGACTTTTAGCCGCTTCTTTTGTTTAAATCATCACGTTACAGCTATAAGACTTTTACTGCGTATAATTTTCAGTTATAACCTTGCATTAACAACATCAGTGACGCAAATTCATATCTGTAAAAGTGGCTCGCCTTTGAAGATTATTACAAATCCCTATCAAGAAATTTATTTTAAGTTCTCTATCTTAAAAGGCAATGAAAATCAAATAAGACTAGAGAAACTTCTTACTCCAGCGACAAGACAAAAAAGCGAATGCCAGTTTGTAGATTTACAAACAGGATAATTGTAAAACAAAAAACAAGACTGCTGTAGAATTTCAGACATGAAATTGAAATGACTGAAAAGGTTGGGGATTGTGCTTATTTATGCAAAACATAGTCAAGAAAGTTTATATTTTGTGTTTTACACCCAGAGTTCTCATATTTACAAAAGGTGTTTGGATTTTGGTATACCTAATTTTCGAGTGCGTAAAAAAGTTCATCAGAGTTTTCGTATCTGATAGCGGCTAATTACACAAGAAAAAAGGAACTAAAAC